GTTAGGAGGCAGGGGAGGGGAGCGGGTACAAGGCAATGACCCGACAGTTAGGAGGCAGGGGAGGGGAGCGGGTACAAGGCAATGACCCGACAGTTGGGAGGTAGGGGAGGGGAGCGGGTACGAGGCACTGAACTGACGGTTGGGAGTCAGGGAAGGGGAGCGGGTACGAGGCACTGACCCGAAGGTCAGGAGGCAGGGAAGGGGAGCGGGCACGAGGCACTGACCTGACAGTGGGGAGGCAGAGGGGGGGAGAGGATACGAGGCACTGACCTGATGGTCAGGCGGCAGAGGAGGGAGTGAGGATGAGGGACTGACCTTATGGTTGGGTGGCTGGGAAGGGGAGTGGGTACACAGACCCATGAATGTATGAATCCACCCGCATGTGTGTGCCCCAGAGAGCATGGTGTCTCTGACCCCAACCCTGGCCGTTCTGAGGTGCGCCCCAGCCCCACACTCATCAGGGCGTCAGTTTTTGGTGCCATTGCAGGACACAAAGCCGCAGACAAAGGGTTACCCTCGCCTTGAGGTTCGTGATGCAGCTGCAGCCAGGAGCAGGAAGGGGGAAAAAAATAAAAACCCCAAACAGTTTTGAAGCTTAACAAAAAAACGCTCCAATTTGAGTTAATTTTAATGGGCTGAAATGAAAAGGGAAGTCTATCTGCATGCCGAGGTTGCATAATGAGTCAATATATGTAAATCTTTACAAGGCAAACACAGTGGGAAACAAAGGCGTTTAACTGAAGCACTCGCTGCTGTCCCTACGCCTTTGTGCACATAATTTCTCCCCATTGAAAGGTATAATTGCCTGCTATTTGAAGATATTCATGCTCAATTTTTGAAATTAATTTCAATTGGGGAAATGTAGAAATGTCACCTCCAGTGAAAGGGATTTGATTTCAATTATCCTTGCTCAAAGGACTGTGATTTCCAAATACACTTAAGCAAAATTATGACAAGAATTTTTGTTCCAGAAATTCAGTGTTTAAAGAGCGATTAGGCGATAAATGGTCGGGCTTTGAATCGGAGTGAATGCACTGGTCTCCATGTGAAAGGCACTCAATTATCCATGATTGCTGCGCGCTACAACGCGGCAAATAGAGATACCTGCTATTGCTGTAATTTGTGTGAAAATTAACATGCTGCAATTTCCACTAGAGGGAATAGAGGCGGCTCTAATGGGGGAGTGAATGTACATCAATAAAGCCAAGGAGAGAGAGAGAGAGAGAGAGAGAGAGAGAGAGAGGGAATGAGGGAGAGAGGGAGAGGGAGGGGGGAAGTGAGGCAGAAGGAGAGGGAGGCCGTGCATGACTAAGGGAGAGAGGCAGCCGGGAGAAGCAGAGAGAAAAAATAAAATATATCATTGATTTAGCAAAAATATAGCAAATTGCACCTGTGTTCTAAGTGACCAGCGAATCAGGAAGTGGCACAGCCACAGTCGGATGCCCCTGGCAGCCAATGAGCCACCGGCACCGTGGCAACCGGGGGGCTTGAGGGAGTTAATGTTTTATTCAGCCAGGGAGCTTAAACTGCCACCCCAGTGGCCTGGCAGAGGGCACCTAAGTGTTTATGGTGACAGCAGAAATTGTCCTTTGGGGCTGCAGGCTGTCGCCACGACAGGCGGCAAGGGGACTGAAGTGACAGGGCGGAGGAGGAGGAGAGAGGCAGCAGAAACGTGGGGCGACACGACTCCCCGGCGCCCCCTTCTGGAGAAAGATGGGTCGACACCCTGTGTTGGATCAGATATTCCATTCCACACCCCCCCTCCCCCAAAACACCACACTCGAAGAACGCAACCAAACACATAGACAAAGGCAGCCGTTTATGGTGGAGGGGGGTGGGGCTCTGTAGCTGGCAGCGGTCTTAGCATTACAGCCAGAAGGGGCAATACCTCAGGCTTCAAGGTGGACCTCTCACAGGCAGGGCACATGGGGCCAGAGCGGAAGAACTCAGCTGGCGCCCGGCGGGTCCGGTTCTGACAGGTCAGGTCCTCACACGCATGCCAGCCCTGTGGGGTGAGGTGGGGGGGGGTAGCAAAGAGGGGCTTAAACACCACAGCTATGATCTGCACACAGACACAGACGTTCACTATTGCTCATATTAGGAGATGTTCTTAATCCCGGTATTAGGACACTGGCAATGTGTTAACCGCAGCCTGGGGAAGGAGGATGCAGGGATGGAGGGAGAGAGAGAGAGAGAGAGAGAGAGAGGGAGAGAGAGGGAGAGGAGGGCAGAGAAACCCCAATCACACCCCCTGGGGCCCAGCGCTGGTGTCAGGCAGGTGCAGGCCTTTCCACAGACCCCCTGTCATTACTGCCCTATAGTGGGGCTGCTATAATGGGTGGGTAATGACAGGCCTCATACTGGACCCCCCCCCCCCACCCTACGGGTCGGAACACAACACCTGCCTTGGACCAATCAGCGGGGGCTGGCTGCGCCGGACCACCCCGTTTCCACACCTCCATGCCTAATGATCCGGCAGAGCGGTCCTCATCAATAGCATGCTTCGGCACAGTGTTCATCTTCATTTTTATGATATAGCGCCTTTCCCAGCATGGCCACCTCAGAAGTCTGACATCAGCTGTGACCCCAGCACACTTTGGCAGGCCTCAGCGCTGACAGAACCGGTCCGTGGACCTTGGGTTGCTGCCGGGCTGAGCCGCACACACAGACCTGGGTTCAAGTTTAATTCAGAGCATGAGCCTCAGACCAGCTTGCTTGCTCCTGCACCAGAGGGGTCCAAACAAGACGCCATGATCCCAGCCACACACTGACCTGACAGCACTGCTATGACAGTGCCATCATTGACAGGTCAGAAACAACAACCTCTCTCCACCAATCAGAGACAGGGGACACCTGGCTGCGCCACTGACCAGCCTATTCCACCAAAATCATCGTAGCCAGAGCGTGGTGACAAGCAGTACAGACAGAGCACTGTCGGCAAGGAATTCTGGGTAGTGCTACTGCACTCTGCCTACCAACCCAGAAACGCTTAAGAGCCACATTAGAACCCAGAGCAAGAAGCTGATTGATGATGATGTTGGGGACAGAGGGTCTGCGACACACACACACACACACACACACACACACACACACACACGTGCAAGGAGAAGCGGGGCCTCAGATCAGCTGGGCAGCACTAGCACGGTTAATGTGTGCCGCACAGGCTGCTTTAGTGACATTTCCCACATGATGAGCACTTAGGCACAGGAATGCCAGTCCCGCCCCCTCAGCCCAGCTGTCCCTAACATAGGCCGAGTGTCGGCTCCTGCCAGCCTCTGCGCTGGCCAATTGGATGCGAATTGCCCTACAGGCCCCGCCTGGCTGAGCCAGGCTCAATGGGGCAGAAATGAGTCCACTTTGTACATCTTCGACTTAATCAAGACTTTCTATTCAGCTATTTGACCTTTTGTTCAAAACAGGATTATCACCTCCTCCCGCCATCCCCCCCCACTCCCCCCCTCAGGCAGTTACCAAGGGCGACCCGCGCAGCAAACGTAATTGCAATAATTTGTTAAACACCATGGCAACCCGCGCTAGCACTAGGTAAATACAGGGGGCTCCGGAGAGCTGCTCGCTATTCGCCCGACGACCGTCGTCAGGGATGGAATGAGGGAAGAGAAAGAAGGAGAGGAAACAAAGCAGTGCAGTGCTGATAATGCGCAAGGGGGAGGGGGGCAGGTAATTCCTCACTTGATTAATGCCCCTCTACGCTTCAGTGGGATACTGCACAAACAAGGCAGACACCCCTCAAAAGCCCCCCCCCCCCAAACCTTGGCCTTTCTTCTGCGACTCAGAGAACAAACAGGCCCAGTTTGTCCTCCCCGTCAGTTGAAGGAAAATCCTTAATTACAGAATATTAGCCCTCTCCATGGCTGGCAGGCCCAGGACGAGGGGAAGGGGGGGCACCGTGGTCTCTGCCAGCAGCTGTTACACATCCTCCTGGAGAGTGCAGAGCCGCACCCTGGCTCCCCCCCGGCCGCCTCAAAGCACCAGGGACACATCCGGAGTGGGACGGATAGTCGGACATCCCTACAGCCTTCTGGAAGGTGAGACAGGACGGCTCCACGGTCGAGGAGAACGCAGAGTTGACCACCGCGCCGAGCACATCAAACGCATTTGCACCCCAGTGGGGGCTCAGCCACTCAGATGGAAGATGGAATTGCCTTGCAGGTCCCGGAATGAATGCTAATGCTGTGGTGAACGGACAGACGGCGCCCCCCACTGGAGCTCTGAGCCAGCCACACCGCCGAGGGAAGCCTGACTAATCCACACTCATCCAGCCGGAGCTTGATGTTTGGCTCCTCGACTCAGAGTGAGTCGAGGAGCCAAACAGAGATGGACTGCAGGTTGAACCAATGAGAGCATGGCCGCACAGACAGACAGCTGGGACAGCCATTCAGATCTACTGGATACTGAGATGGTTTACAGCTGGAGATCAGAGTGTGTGTGTGTGTGTGTGTGTGTGTGGGGGGGGGGGTAGTGATTCTCCTCTATAAACTCCTCTCCCTCTTTCCTCAATGAGGGACACAGGTGAGGTCAATAAATCACACTGTGGCCCAACTCAAGGTCGCAAGCAGCTTCTAGGCTGTTTCATATCATCTTCAGGAGGAAATTCCAGCACCTTTTCTCCCTCACCCCTCTGCCTGCCGCAGCCTAGCCATGCCCCCCAGGCCTCTCTCACTGCCCACAGAGAGCGAGAACTCACAGTATAGAACCTGCGTATGTGGCGCCGAATGTCAAGCTGCAGCTTGTTCTGGATCTGGACCGGGTGCATGATGGGCTGGCCCGGACACTCCACCTGACAGCAATTCAGGAAGCTGGGCTGCAGCGTTGGACCCTGGACAGGAAGTGACATAACAGGATGTATAGATGGGGCAGGGCCAAGGCCTAAAGGCTAACGGGAGTACAGAGGCCCACTGGCCCACCGCCGGCAGCTCCATTACCCCTGAGGGCTAAACCCAGGGATGACAGCAAGCAGCACTGGTGGGATGTGGGGGCACCCAAGTCTGCCTCCCCCCTCAGCATGTTATATAACCACCCCCCCCCCCCAGGTTCCCCCAATATCTAAGCCGAGGGGAGTGTGGGCCGAGTCACTCTGGACCTCAAGGCCGAATGGGGGCTACATTCCACAACCCCCTGGCCCCCCCACCCCAAGAGATGAGCGAAGGCTTCCAGAGGCCTGGGGAGAGAGAGAGGAGATGGCCAGTCGCTGAGGAGGAGATCCAGGAGGACCGTGTCTCACTAATGTGGAGAAAGAGATATACAGCGAGCGCTCAGCAGGGAGGCCCCCCTCCCCAAGCCTCGCGGCCCCCGGCAGACTGACCGCCCCCTCAAAAGCGCTGTCGTAGATGTTGTCCACGCCGCATTGCGGGCAGGGCAGGTGGAAGCGCTCGCAGTCCTTATAGCGTTCCTCGTCGGTAAGTTGGAGGCCCCCCAGCAGGGCGTCCGCCTCCTCCTCGCGACGCTGCTGCTGGTGGGCACGGAAAAGGGAGGGGTCCAGGCCTGGGGCGGGGAGGGCAGGTAGGCGGGCAGTTAATATGCCCTAAACTGAGAATCACCCCAAAACCACAATTATCAACAAGTGATTAAGAAGCAGAACCTGCAGGCATGAGAAAAGCAGAGCTTCATAACTGCGGGGCGACAGAAGCACATGGCCACCCCCCCACCCCCGGGATAATCAGCCTAAATGAACAACTGAGTAAACATTACTAAACGGCCAAAGGGGATTAACTGTCACCCAGAGTCCTGTTGATTGCCACGTCAGCTGCTGCCACCTGGTGGAAGGAATGTGCATGGCAGCCAGAGTGGAACATGAACCGTCAGGTCACGGCGCCGTGAACACGAGCTCCTCGCAACGCATGGTGACACTCACCCAGCCAGGTAGCGATGAGCACGGCATCGATGCCCACGATGGGCTCGCAGATACGTCCCACCACAGGGTGCACCTGCTGGGACAGGTAGTACTGTGTATCTAGGCTCAGGCCTGGCTGCTTCTGCAGCTGCTCAGGGGAGTACGCCCGCTGGCTGGGACCCAGATTTGAGCCGTCCTGAGGGGTGAGGTGACAGCTGATCAGCACAGGCCAGCAAGCCTGTCGCTCTCATATAGGCCTCGCCCATGCCAGCCGAACAGCCCACCTGGCAGATGACGTAGGACACAGTGTCCCCCGCTTTAACCTTGCGTCCTGCCTGGGAGTTGATCCAGAGGGCGACGTGGACGTGGGGCAAACTCTTCTTATCCGGGTAGTCCTGGGGGTCCTTGGTCAGGGCCTGCGAGAGACACACACCCTCAGCACAAACGCCCACCCTGCACACGCACCCCCTCCCCGAATACGGCCCACCTTGTGGATCTCGAACTGTGAGAGGGGAACGTCCCCGCTCACCACCTTCTCCCCAACCTCTATGAGATGCTTCTGGATGTTCTCCACGATGGTGTCCCGGTTCTGGTCTGATAGGATCTGCCCGATCACATAGCTGAGGTAGAGGAGGGTCAGAGGTCAGGGAGGACAGACACCCTTAAATTCCATTCTTTCGCTGGCCTCCTTTCATGTGCCGCTGCTGCGCACAGACCCCCCCAGCCGGAACCCCCAACTATGCGTCACGCACTTGCCACACTCCTTGGCGAGGTCGCACCAGTCCCTGCGCACAATGTCGAGCCCCTTGAGCTCCTGCCGGGTGGCATAGCGCCCCCCAGGGGCCATGTCCACGCACAGCGCCGCGTACTTCTTCTTTTTCAGCAGCAGGAGGGACTTGAAGATGCCATCAATATCGAGCTCCAGCAGCTTGTAGAGCCGGTTGACCTCGCTCTTCACCTGGATGGAGATATGCGACATCACGTGAGCATCCCCCTCCGACGCACACATGCCCGCACCCACCCTTGCCTGCCTCATACCTTGTTTCCCAATTTAAGGACCTCCTCCAGGTCGGTGTTGTTGGTGTTGATCATGATGGAGTCTGTGTCACCGTAGATAACTTCCAGGTTCATCTGCCGGTCAGAAGGAAATAGACAATGCGAGTTTAGAGGGGAGAGCAGGGTATCATGGGAATGCAATCGGTGGCTGCTGCGGAGCATGACACCTTACCTTCTGCACCAGGTCCTTAGTGTGCATCAAGATCTGGGAGAAAAGAACAAGGGATGAGTGTGGAGCCTGGATCACACCTGAGGAAACAGCAGAGGAACCCAGGACCCATACAGCCTGGGTTAGAGGCTAATAATGCTCAGTTTGCAGGAGCACAGCACAGTGGGTAAAAACACTCAGAAAGCAGCCCATCATCAGTCACCGTGCCATACCTCCCTGCACTCAAAGAAGGACCCCCTTATCCCTGAACCTGCCACAGCTGGCATTGGGGGAGGGGGGGAACAGCGTGCCAGTTTGTGGGGAAAATAAACCCAGTTAAGCGGCATAACCACCCAGGAACCCAGAGTGACAAAAACAACACACCTCTGATTTCTCGTCAAAGGAGCATGATTGGCACGGCGCTGCCTGCTTTTCACATCACACCTGCATGCAGGGAGGAGTCTGGCCTAAGCAGGGGGCGGGGGCTGGCTGACAAAGGTCCCCCCCAGGCCTGCATGGTGGTCACCTCAAAGAGCGGGTTACAGCAGCCTGTGTGACAGCACTCCTCAGTTTGTGAGAGGGGCATTTAACGAGGATGATGGCACTCGTAAGGCCCAAGCAAAGGTGATCCGAGCTCATGGATTACATCAGAATGACAGTCAACCTATGCGGGGGGGGGGGGGGGGGGGGGAAGACTCACAGCTGATCAAAGCTGGGTCGAAGACACTGCCTCTTTTCAACAACCCCACAGCTATGAGACAGCCAGCCACAGCCAGCCCCCAGCAGCCCCCAGGGACAAGGACATGGTGCAGCGCTATTTCTGCACCTCCGCGAAACACAAGCAGGACTTCAACGTGCCATTTATGAGGTGATACATTTTTTTTGGGGGGGGGGTGAGTAATTACAGAACAGGTCCGTGGCTGAATGAGCTCATCTCAAGGTCAAGGCCCCTCCCATGGAGAGAGAGGGGGGAGGGGGCTTGTGGGGGATCAAAGGCAGGGTGGGGGCAGCCTCGCTCATAACTACCCATGATGACGTAGTGGAGTTTGCCTGACTGACTGGTGGTTTGAACCCCTGGCCCCACCATGATACTGCATGAAGGCAAAGGCACTCGGTACGACACAGCAGGACACCACATGCTGGGGGGGCATGCAGTAAAGCCTGCACCCCTGTCCCCCCGGCTGTCAGCTTGAGTCACAGCTTGTGCTGACCCCCGACCCCAGGGGGGCCTTTGACAAAGCAGACAGCTGGGGCGCCGCGCCTGGCCAGGGAGGGGGCGCCTGACCCTTTGGAAAGGCGACCCCCTCCAACCAGAGGCTAGGAATGCCACCAGGAGGCAGCTTGGGGAGCTCATCTTCACACGGATAGGGCGCCCAGTGCATTCCTATGCCAATCAAAACATTCCTTGTGCATTCCTTGGCCAATGGGGACGAAGGCAGGTGCCATTGCTGCATCAGTCATGCCGTGCACACAGACAGAAACACACAGAATGACAGAACATCGCAGAACATAGCAGCACACACCCTGGTACCACCAGGTGAGAAACCGCCAATCGATCGGTCACAGTAACAAGTGTGATTCCAAAAGGTCATGGCTTTGGTTGGGGTGGGGGGGATTTATTGCCCTTATTAACAAGCCATGTGCAATGAGCACACCACAGCCGCGCCAGGTGCAACCTCCCCCCAGCAAGCGCCGGTGATGTAAGCTGGAACCCAACACTGTCCGCACACACTCAAAGCACATCATTAGCGCAGCTGAACACGCCCATACACAGATCCCATTGTTCCTAATGACCCCCCCCCACCCCGAGCCTACACTGCTACCCAGTTACAGTGTGCGGGGGGGGAGTGAGGGTATTTAATTAGCCCTAATTTAACATGACTCTCCAGAGATCCAAATTTACACACTGTCACCAGCAGTGTCACATCACCAAATCAATCTGTCCCTAAGTACACACTGGGGACAGCCCTCAATGCCCAGGCCTGGGGGAGGGGTGGAGGGGGCACGTCATATTTGTGGAAGGTTAAAAATGACCTTTGTAATTCCAACAAGCAAGAAAACAGGGAGGGGGGAGGTAACGGAAACGTTTACCCCGATCAACTTTCACGCCCTTTCCCCCCCCTCCGCGGGATGTGGCGGTAGCTGGAGAAATATAGAGGGGCCTCAAAGGTCAGTCTCGCTCGTGGCCACCCCTGTCACTCGATCAGTCGCCTGTCGCCCCCCGAGGGGGGCGGCCCGGAATGCTGGCCACTTCACAAAGGGACCAAAATTAAATTTGTGAAGATCCATCAGGCCGTCTCTTGAAACACTAACCCCCCACGTTCTCCGCGCAGGCCCCCAAAATACCCGTGCGGGGGGCCACCTGTGTCCATCCAGCACACCCTCAGCAAAAAACCTGCAAAGGGCAGAGGGCAGGTCTGTCACGGTAACTACTTGTGATGGAAAATATATTGTTGCTTTAAGAAAATTTTAAGCCACTCATATAATGATAATGTAACAGCATAATCAAGCAAGTACACCCTTTCAAATAGCAATGAACTTTTAATTCTTAAGAATATTCAGACATCGGAATTTGAATGTTAAAAAAAATCCTAAATAGATAAAACACAAATAAAACCACACAACCAAAAAAAATATATACATAAAGCTGTCAGGCTTTGTTCACAAAATTTAAAAAAATTTAAATATATGGCAATGTGGTATAGAGTCATTCATTCCTTAAAAGGCAATATACTGCCATCCCACTTCTGCAGAGGCTCTGCTCAGTGATGCACACAAACCTGTGTCATTCACTGGCCAGAGGAATAGTAACAGGAAGTCAGAAAGTCGTCTGATCAAAGACTGAACATCTACACCTTGTCTCCCCTCTATGATCAGAATGAGAACAAAAATGGCGGATTTGGTTGACTGAGAAGTCTGAGAAGTATTCTTCGCTACAGCATTATAAAGACTTACAGATGGCTACAAATCAAGATCAATAAAATTAAATTTACTTGTACTGCAACTTTATAAAAGTGTAGGTGCATCAGTTTTATTTTGATTTTTTTTTTAATTTAATTTTTAGATTATTTTATTTGAAATCTAGTTTAGTTTTAGGTGTAGTTTCATTAGTTTTTATTCAAAGAAGTTATTCTATTTAGTTGTTATTTTACTTTAGGTTTTAGTAGGTTTATTTCTAGGGATAAATGAAAAGTTGCTACTTGTTGCATGGCTACTACAAAGTAGCTTTAGCTTTTAGCTAAATAGTATTTAACAACTGGAAATATTTGTCTAATTTCCAGTTTTATTTTAGTTTCGGAAACTATATTTATAGTTGTCGTTTAGTTGCAGTTTATTTTAGTTTTGTATTTTATTTCAGTTTATGGAAATGTTTTCATTAATCCTGCCTCCTATACTATAAGTCCAAAACACGTAACATGGTTTGTTTTCATAAAAATTCTTATTCTTGTAAAATCCTTCATAAACGTGCCTTTTAAGAGTAGCTTTGCTCTACAGCGCCACCCCAGGCCAGACTTAGGAGTACACCCTGGGGCTGGAAGTACCAACATTCAGGATTGCGGACACTCCGGCATTACAGCACGCACACGTTCATATGAAGTAAAAACCAGCCATCCGCAGCACCACCAGACAAGAGGGCGGATGCAGTGCAACTGGCCCATATGATAGTGGCAATCATTCATATGTAAACACAATTTGGCAAAATATCGAGGTCAGAAAAAACAATCGAGGTTGTGTCCGCTGGCAGGTCTACGTGGGGAACCTCCATGCTGGGAGATAATGCCCTGGATGAGGTCAGTGGGAAGAGTAACCCAGACACCAATAGCCTCACCAGCCTAGTTCGTCCTGGGAAAATTGCACAGCGCCACACACAAGCCACGGAAACCCAAGATCCACCCCCACCAGACTCGGAAACAGCCCTTCAGGCGTCTTCAGGTTTCACATCCTTCCCAAAATGTCCTGTCATCAGTCATTTTGCCCTCACCCTGACGGGACACGGGTGGCTCAGACACAACCCACGAGTCGATCCCCGCCCCCCCCCCCTCCACAAAACAGGCACTGAAACCACCTCATCACATGGATTTACACTCCTTTCCGAGCTGTATAAGATGGAATAAAGCAGCACCCTTCAATTTAATAAGCTTAACATACACGTGACTGCAGGGCCATACACTATAGGGCCATACAGATAACAGGGATAGCGCCATCCACTGGCCATCCTAGGTTCCTGCAGCAAAACTCATCGGAAACCTGGTGTGGGGCAGGCAGACATCCCAACAACACTCCAGTTTACGCATCAATAAGCTGAATGGGAAAGACCATGGGTGAGCGTGCGTGCATGCATGCGAGTCCGTACCTCTCTCCCCTTGTGTGTAACCAGGGCGGCGAGTGGCTTGGCGTAGAAGCGGCTGTATGAGAATCCCAGGCAGCCGTACATGCTGTTGGCTGTCAGCTTCAGGGCCTTCTGCCGGATGTCGTACTATGGGGGCAGAGGATTGCATCAGCCGTGAGCTGGCGGGTGGAGACTGCCAGCCGCACGTGGGCGGAGAAACTCACCTGCAGGCAGAGGTCCGGGTTTAGGTCCGGCTGCTTCATGAGCTGCTTCACCTGCCTCCGCCGCTCCACCAGCTTGCGGATCTCCTGGGGCAAGACCCCCATCTCCAGGTCTGGGTCGGGCAGCTCGGGGATCTTGTCCAGCTCGTCCTCCTGGCACCAAGGCGACACACATCAGCGGAGTGGGTCAGAGTGATGCACACGCCCTACCTCCCCTCCCCCGATGGCGACAGAGCTCACAGGGACCCCGCCTACCTCAGCTTTGCGGGACCCGCCCTCAGCCGATCGTGCCACAGTGGTGAAGCAGATGTTGAACTCTTGGATGATAGACGGATACAGGCTGTTGAAGTCCAAGAGCAGGATGAACTTGTCATAGAAGCCTGACGAAAAGACAGAAACGAAGGCGGCTTAGGTGGAGGAGACGTACCCATCGGTGTCTCCCAGCAGGCAGACCCCACAGTTCCCAGTGCTCCCATCACACACTCACCCACTTTGGGGTCCAGCACCAGCCCCCCTGCGTAGGCGGCCTTCCTGCGTGCATTCCGGGACTTCCCTTTGACCCGATCTGAATCCTCTTCCTCGTCTGTCTGATAGTGACCAGTGCAGTTCAGATAAGTATTAAAGCCCAAAAAAATGGCCTCCGTAACCCCACCCCTACCCACACTCCAACCCAGCCCCACGCTAAGAATGCGGCTCACCGGATCCACTGGCAGCTTCTTGAAAACGGGCTTGTCGGGTACGATGTAGTCCTTCTCGTAGAAGGCATGCAGCAAGAGGTATTCGTTCCTCTCTGCGCGGCCACCCATCAGTGTGCGAGACTACGGGGGGTAGCGCCATGGCCGTCAGCACTACTCGATGACACCCCCCCCCCCCGCCCTGCGAGAGACTCACCATGACATTGCCAGCGATGCTGGTGATCTGCAGGGCCAGCGGCAGCACGTTCAGCTCACACATGATCTGCAGCACGAACCGGGCATCCATCCAGGTGGCCTCCAGCAGGTGGAGCAAGCGAGGCGAGTCACTGCAGGGGGGAGAACAACACAGGGAGATGGTGACTCGCTGAGGCCTGGGCTGCCTGGCACCGGGAAATTGCTGGTGTGGACATCCCACCTGTAGAAATCACTAAGCTCCTCCGGGGGGATGTCAATCCTCTCGGTCTTCAGGACCTGGGCCACCAGCTCCGACAGGTGGTAACTCCGGCAACGGATCAGCTCCTTGGCGGAGATCTGCACGTCGCACACCATGCGGCCACAGGTGGCGCTCTTCTCTGCAAAGCCGCCGCGGCCCTAAGGGGGAGGGGGGAGCACCTTAAAGTAATGCGTGCAGAAGGGTGACCAGCCAGCGGCTCTCTGTCTGAAAAGGCCGAGGGCCTCCTCACCCCCAGCTTGGGCATGTTGGCGCGGCGCAGCCGGCCGATCCTGGACCACTGGGGCACCTTACAGTCACCCATCCTCTTCAGAAGCACCTCCAGGTCGAAGCCATAGATGTCATGACCCTGGGAGGAGGCCACGTCAACAGGGGGTTGGACGCAGTAAAAAAAGAGCGGGCCTCGAGATTTTCGGGAGAAAGAGCGGATTCTGCTCACCACAATGACATCGGGGTCGATCTTACACATCATAGCCAGAAAGTAGGCCAGCAGTGTCCTCTCGGTGGGCGCAATCTCCACCTTGCCTTTCTGGAGAGGAAGCAGAGGGATGTCATGCAGAGGAGCCCCACAAGCTGACCCACCCCCCCACAGAGAGCTGCATCCCCACCTTCCTCCGGACAGCCTCCTGGAAATCGAAGGGAAAGATGCAGTTGGATGGCTTGCTGACCACTGTGTTAAAAATGAAATTGTTAATTATAATTAAATATCCGAGTGAGAACATGCTTTCTGTCACATGAGCTCTGAGCCCCAACAGGATGGTCCACTTACCGCAGAAGTGTGTCTGGAAGGGGGGCCGTGGGGCCGCTTTGTCCAAGGGAAACTTGTGATGGGTGAGAGCAGCAAGACACACAATCTGGACAGACAGGAAACAGGAAGTGGTTTAACACGAAGTGGTTCATAAGCCCCAGCACAGCGAGAGACCGACAGTTCCACCCCTTACCTCATTCTGATGTGCCTTGTTCTCCACGGTCTTCATGCAGATGGACATGACTACCAGGGGTGGGGGGGGCAGGTCCCTCACCACTGACAGGAAGGAGCTCTGCTGGGCCACAGCCTCTACCCGGCACCAGCTCACCGGCTGGGTGCTCAACTCTGAGAGAGGGTGGGGAGCCAAAGGTCAGAGGTCAGGGGCATGGCAGACGAGAACTGGAGAGGAACAGACTAGGGGCAGGGGGGTTTAGGGTCAGGATGGGGGTCAGCAAAAGGAGCTGAACATCACTTTGTGGACTCACGGGGAGTCTTGACGTCGAGCCAGCACGGCCCACGGATCTTCCTGCTGAGGAGGAGGTACTCCAGGCTGGAGGTGTTGGTCCCGAATACATGAGAGAATGTCTCCCCCTTCAGGTCGGAGGGCAGTGGTGGCATCTCTGCCTACATCCGCCCCAAAACAAAATCAAAGCAGGTTAAAATAAGCAGCCCTCTCTGACACCCCAGCCTACAGGCCCACGACCCCCCACGCTGTTACTCACAGAGTACCGCACTTCCAGGTATTCAGACTGGGTGGGGACATCAGGCACCTCAAAGGCATAGTTCTTTTGTACTTTCTGAGGAGAGAACACGGTGTCACATTCAAACAAAACCCCAAGCCAGCCTGCATACAGACCCCGAGCGCTGAAACACAGGTCGCTCACCCTCGATTTGAACTTCATGATCCTGAGCTTTTCAGAGAGCTCACTGAACTCCTGGTACACGTCCGTCATGCCGACGGCCACCTCCGTCTCCTTTCCCGTCTTTATGTCCATTTTCTGCCAATTGAAGACATCCACAGCTCACAGTGAGCTACTGAGCCCAGAAGCTCCGCCCCGGGGGCTGAGCGCCAGCCCCGCCCTCAGGGAACTCCAAATCAGGACACTCACGTGTTCTCGGGGCAGCAGGAACATGACCCTCTCGATGTTCCTCACGACCACACAGCAGCTGACGTGTGCCTTTGCGGATTCGATCCATACCTTGCCAAAAAGGTAGACCACACCTGAACCAGGACCAGGCACAAGAGCATGAGGGACAGAGACAGAAAAGCGGTAAGATGGGCAGAGCACCTACATATCTGTCTGTGTCAACATGGCAAACACATCCCTGGCCCTGCCAAGACAAAATCTCTGCATCACTTTAATAAGCTGTATGTATGCATGCTCTCTGATAGGCTGAGCACAGGTGTGGGGGCATCGCTTAAAAGAGGAATCTGCTTAACTCTCTGGGGTCGAGTATGTCGTCGGCGACATCGCGTACTTTTCGCGTCTAT